ATTCAATGAATTCTAAAGTACAAAATAAGACCTTGTGTATAAGCTTTTTTCAAGCCTAAACAAGTTTGGAAATGCTTCAAGTGCCAGTAAATTAACTTTATATGGTTTAATGACTCATCTTATTGTAAAGAGGAATAAGTTAATCAATATTTTACAAAATTTAAAGATTCCAAAGATAGCATAATTTGGCCAAGTCAATTGAGGAAGTTGGTGTGGTTTTGAAATCAAACAATTTTTTTGAAGAGCTTCACTCCCTATTTGATATGGTGGAGCTAACTATCGAGGAATGTCAAATTAAGCTTCGTCATCATTCTTCATTGATTTTGGAGGGAAGAAGAATATTGAATGGGCTGCTCAGAGAGTTGTGCATTTTGAATGGTTCAAATCTTGATGTAGTGCCTTGATTTATGACATTGTCTTTGGCTTTCAAGTTGGTGCTGCATGAACTTCTTTGAAACTTAAAAAAAAAAAAAAAAAAAAAAAAAAAAACTGTTTTCCTGTATTAACGTTCAAATATCACTCAACTAGTTTAGAGTTGAGTTTATATAAATTTGTTTTGATCATCCAAATATCTTTTTAGAATGAAGTTGTTTTTTCATTTAATCACGAATTTGGTTGATGCATCTGCTCGTGTTGAGAGTTCTTTTAAAATGTTGTAATGGTAATCTTGATCTATGAAGTATAAGAAATTTGTAAATTTTGACCTGTGTTTCCTGTGATAGGCTTTTCTTATAGGTTTTGAGGCTTAAAAATCCTCTAATGAGAGTATATCTTCAAGCCGTGGCATGTTGTTTTTATTCAAGTTTTTGTAAGGATTTTGAACGGGCCTCAAGCCGTGGCATGTTACTTTTTATATTTAATGGGATAACACTCAGTGTGAGTTTAAATTAAGATAAGATATATTTTGTTATATTTTATGAAAAATTGTTTAAAATTTAGAACATTTGTATGTTTGTTACTACTTAAAGGAGATTTTGTTGCTTTTTTTGTACATGCATACCATGAAAATTTTGTGCTGAGGTGAATGCAATATCTGAAAGGGATATTGATTATCTGTTAGGTTAATAGGCTTTTTGGGTTATAACCATCAGCAGTAATGATGCACTTAGACTAATTAAAGGTTAGTTAAGATCTTAAATATTTTTATTTATTAAGTTTAATAAACCAGAATAGTTAATAATGTAAGGTCTATAGAGCAACAACTTGATTGGTGTACCCTTAGGGTGGTTTTTTGAAGTGTTATGTTGATAGTGGAAAAAAGGTTATTGAGGTTTTAGACACATTTGAGGTTGAAATTTTTACGTTTTGAAATAGTAAATTTTTTTTGGATGAAATGAATGAGGAACTTCAAATCAAATGTTGGGAATGTTAGGGAATTAATGGTGGTGTTTTATGTGTTTCGAATTAGTAGTTAATGTGTTATGGAGTTTTTAATTTTATTGCTTAATTTAAAAATTGTCTCTATATTGGGATTTTGACCTGGATATGTTGGACTTAATGTCAAGGCCTTAGGAAGTTTTAGGAGTTGGGGAGGAATATGTAAGAGAGCTTTGAAGAGATTGTTAGTGTCTTAGGGGTTGTGGGAAGCTATGATTTAGGGTTTGATTGAGATCTACATGGAGGAAAGGGGAATCATTGTTGGGAGAGGAGTGGGCAAAGAAAACCAAGAACTTACTATGGCATAAGAGATAAGCCCCTAAACCAAATTGTAGAGTATTCATCATGCATTTTCACACAATTTGTATATGTAAAAGATAATTTTATTCAATGAATTCAAAAGCAAAGAGTAAGGTCGTATGTATAGGCTTCTTTTCTTTTTTATTTTTTTTTGTCACTTAGTAAAGTTTGGAAAAACTGTAAGAGCTAATAAATTACTATTACATGGTTGATGACCTACCATAATGCAAATAAAAAAATAAGCAAAATATTACAAAATTGAATGCTTCCAAATGTAGCAAAGTTAGACCAAGCTTAGTAAGACAATGTAGTTGTCTTAAAATATAGCAATTTTAAAAAATTTTCACTTATTTGATTGATTTGGCTGAACAATCCATCAATCAACTCTAAATTAGGCTTCTTAATTATTCTCCATTAATTTTGGAGGGAAGAAGCGTTGTCCAAATGCTTGCTTGTAGCGTTGTGCATACAACTGCAAAAAAAATTGTTCATAAACAGTTGTGGTTGACTCATTAAGGAGCTCATGTTGATTTATTCAACAAATAAACAAGTCGAACATGAATAGATATTTTAAGCTCAAATTTTAAACAAACTGAGCATGCATAGACATTTATTTAATGGTATTTCACCTGGGTATTGATAATAGATATATCTATTTAAAATATATTTTTTTAATTTTATATTTTTTTTAAATTTACTAATTCGATAGTTTATAACTTGAATGATTCTATCATATTATGCTCATTAATGATTTATTTAATTTATTCAAATTTGACTCTTATTTGCTTCATGTTTGGTTCAATTTTTAATAAGACAAGCATGAATATTATGTCACAAATATTTTCAAGCACAATCAAACATGAACGTACCAAATTTCAAATGAGCTAAACATGGCTAAACTACTAGCTTGCTCAAAGTTTTTGCTCGTTTACACCCTCAGTTATGCATAATGGATAGCTTAAATCTTGATACTGTACCTTGGTTTATGAGCTTGTCATTGGCTGTTGGGTTGGCGCTCTGCATCAGTCAATAAACATAGCAAAAAAAATAAAAAATAAAAAAATAAATAGAAAAAATTTTATCAGATAATTAAGTTGTAATATTATTAAGTAATAATGATAATTAACTATGTTAATGAAGCTTTGAATTAAGATAATTTGGTATACTGAAAGGAGTTTAAAGTAAACTTAATTTGTTAAGGTATAATAGTATTTACAAAGGATAATTTATGCCTAATTATAAATTATGATGCAATGATAGGCTAAACAAATAAGCTGTAGCCCAATTGCAATCGAATAGTTTTCTCAGTTTGTTCCGTACTACAATTTATCTTTTCCTCCAACCAAATGAGACACTTTTTAAAGGCATAGCTTGGCTTAACTTGTGCCACAAATAAACAGGCCTTTGGATGAAATCCGAAAAAAAAAAAAACCAGTAGGGAGGTATTGTGGGTCTCATGACAGGCCTTTGGATGAAATCCGAAAAAAAAAAAAACCAGTAGGGAGGTATTGTGGGTCTCATGCCTCATTAGTCAACTCCATGATTTACAAGGATGAACTTGAAAATCATTCTGAAAATAATTAGGGAATAAAAGTTAGATTTAGCGTTAATAATTGTCATTTGAACTATTTCTTGTTGAGCTTAGCTGCTAAGACTTCAGTAGAAAAAACCTAATAAATGAGCTCTATTTTATTGATTCAAGCTTAATCAAGACAAGCTTGTTTACATGCTGCTTTTTCAGGCGTATACCTTCTCAAGTATATCAAACATTTTAATGAGCTTGTTCTCGAACTTTAAACAATATTTTTCATGATCATAAACAAATCACAGAACAAGTTGTCCATTGATCAAGTATTTATAATTATGTTCAAGTGCGCTCAATAAATTAATCAAACAATCATAAATAAGCTTTGAGTAAGCCATACGTAACTTGTGAAAAGCATCTTTCACTTGCATCACTACTTATCATAACAGATGTGAAACAATATCATCGTCAAGTAGGCTTGGTCTCTGCAAATTATCAGTGGTAAAAATGGTTGAATTTGAAAATCTCAGTAGAGCATTAACTAAATTCTTCAAGTAAATTAGGGGACACTCAATGATAAATTCATGACTAGAAGAAGGTTTATGGATATATCAAGTGCCTAAGTTCTAATAATGATCTTTAACAAAGGATAATCAAGATGACATATAAATTGGATCATATCAAGTGGTCCTTACAAGGCTTTAAATTTTCTTATGAAGTATACAAACATTACATGAATTTGCTTAATTAGCAAGATATTCTTCTGAACTCAGCTTAATATATAATTCATCAGTTTCGTACAAAAATTTAGGCTTATTAAATGGAGTGCTTTTGAAACATACGAGTTTTATACAAAGCTTGGCATGATGATATGGAGTACTTGCTTTTATTGATTTTTTTCTCAGAATTAGATCAAATTAATAACATAGAAATTTCAATGAATAAATAGTAGAATATTTCAAAAAGGCAATCATCTGCCAAAAGTAATGAATGAAGTTTATTTTGACAACTGAATGGAGTAGACTTCCCTCAACTTTATTTTTTTTAATTTTTTGAGAAATTTATAGAACTTACTTTCCAAGTACTTTTTTATCTTCTTTTATTGAAAAATGATCAAATGGGCCTCATTTTAGCGAAGCAAAGAGTGGAATCATCCTCTCATCTCTTAATATTTTTCAAAGTCTAGTTGACTCTCTCTCTTTCTCTCTCTCTCTCTCTGTTTTTCCTTCTGATCTCATCTGAGTTTTGTTTGTGACACATCTCTCTCTCTCTCTGTTTGTGATACTTATGACACACTCGTTATAATTTCACGATTAACCCATGTCATATGAAGTTCTAGTATGAATTTTTTTTCTCCACTCATTTTTCACTTAGATCTTTCACATAGGATATGAATAACCTCAATGCATTGTTTTGTTTCTTTAAAAGAGTATAAAATTGATGGTTTGCAATGTGGGATTACAAATTGTACTTTAAAGTTATTAATATAGGTATAAGGATTTTTTTCTTGGGAGTGTATTATGTTAAAGATTCTTGATTTGCTAATAAAAATTCACATGATTGAATAATAAGCAAACTAAATTATGTGAAAAAAAAACCTTTATATGAATGAAAAAATAGTAGTTTTCCCATACATTCATAATAAAGCTTGCAAATCATGCTTGTAATTCCAATACTGACTGTATTTACAAACATTGTGCTTGGGGATTTAAATTGGGTAAAATTGCTGTGTGATGGTGTTTTTTCAAGAAATTAACGTCTGATATTTACTCATTAAACTTAATATTATGTTATGCAGCTTGGTCAAAGGACAGCAAATATTGTCAGGCATCTTTTCCCAGTACCTAAGCCAGACACAAAGCGTATTATTACTTTTGCTAATCGGTCTGATTACATTTCATTCAGGTTGGTGTTGTTTTTATTGTTTAAATAGAATAAGAGAAATTAGAAGCCATTTATTTTCATCTGCTTGTATTTTAAGGGAGAATGTGAAATTAGGATTTATTATAAGAATGCAAACCATATTGAAATAAGGATTTATTATAAAAATGCAAACCATATTGTATTTTAAGGGAGAATGTGAAATAAGAATGCAAACCATATTGATTTCTAACTAAAGTGATTTTATTTTCATTCATTTGTGTGCGAAACTGAAATATTAGGATTTGAAAGGTTTTTCCTTTACTCATTTCTAACTCATCCAACTAAATAACAAAAATTAATTTTTTTTTTATTTTCAAAACATATTATCTAGCTTCAAGCAGCAAAATGAGCCGCGATAGTAGTTCCTGTGCTTTAATTTTGGTGTGGTATTGCTAGAAACTTCATGTACATTGACATGTCATATATCTTTGGGATTTACTAGCGTAAGGTCCTTACAAGGCTTTAAATTTTCTTATGAAGTATACAAACATTACATGAATTTGCTTAATTAGCAAGATATTCTTCTGAACTCAGCTTAATATATAATTCATCAGTTTCGTACAAAAATTTAGGCTTATTAAATGGAGTGCTTTTGAAACATACGAGTTTTATACAAAGCTTGGCATGATGATATGGAGTACTTGCTTTTATTGATTTTTTTCTCAGAATTAGATCAAATTAATAACATAGAAATTTCAATGAATAAATAGTAGAATATTTCAAAAAGGCAATCATCTGCCAAAAGTAATGAATGAAGTTTATTTTGACAACTGAATGGAGTAGACTTCCCTCAACTTTATTTTTTTTAATTTTTTGAGAAATTTATAGAACTTACTTTCCAAGTACTTTTTTATCTTCTTTTATTGAAAAATGATCAAATGGGCCTCATTTTAGCGAAGCAAAGAGTGGAATCATCCTCTCATCTCTTAATATTTTTCAAAGTCTAGTTGACTCTCTCTCTTTCTCTCTCTCTCTCTCTGTTTTTCCTTCTGATCTCATCTGAGTTTTGTTTGTGACACATCTCTCTCTCTCTCTGTTTGTGATACTTATGACACACTCGTTATAATTTCACGATTAACCCATGTCATATGAAGTTCTAGTATGAATTTTTTTTCTCCACTCATTTTTCACTTAGATCTTTCACATAGGATATGAATAACCTCAATGCATTGTTTTGTTTCTTTAAAAGAGTATAAAATTGATGGTTTGCAATGTGGGATTACAAATTGTACTTTAAAGTTATTAATATAGGTATAAGGATTTTTTTCTTGGGAGTGTATTATGTTAAAGATTCTTGATTTGCTAATAAAAATTCACATGATTGAATAATAAGCAAACTAAATTATGTGAAAAAAAAACCTTTATATGAATGAAAAAATAGTAGTTTTCCCATACATTCATAATAAAGCTTGCAAATCATGCTTGTAATTCCAATACTGACTGTATTTACAAACATTGTGCTTGGGGATTTAAATTGGGTAAAATTGCTGTGTGATGGTGTTTTTTCAAGAAATTAACGTCTGATATTTACTCATTAAACTTAATATTATGTTATGCAGCTTGGTCAAAGGACAGCAAATATTGTCAGGCATCTTTTCCCAGTACCTAAGCCAGACACAAAGCGTATTATTACTTTTGCTAATCGGTCTGATTACATTTCATTCAGGTTGGTGTTGTTTTTATTGTTTAAATAGAATAAGAGAAATTAGAAGCCATTTATTTTCATCTGCTTGTATTTTAAGGGAGAATGTGAAATTAGGATTTATTATAAGAATGCAAACCATATTGAAATAAGGATTTATTATAAAAATGCAAACCATATTGTATTTTAAGGGAGAATGTGAAATAAGAATGCAAACCATATTGATTTCTAACTAAAGTGATTTTATTTTCATTCATTTGTGTGCGAAACTGAAATATTAGGATTTGAAAGGTTTTTCCTTTACTCATTTCTAACTCATCCAACTAAATAACAAAAATTAATTTTTTTTTTATTTTCAAAACATATTATCTAGCTTCAAGCAGCAAAATGAGCCGCGATAGTAGTTCCTGTGCTTTAATTTTGGTGTGGTATTGCTAGAAACTTCATGTACATTGACATGTCATATATCTTTGGGATTTACTAGCGTAATGTCACGGACTAACTTTCGCCAAGTCACCCGTGCGGCTTTAGCGCTCACTCTTAGCACTAAATCAGCCTAATCACTCACAACACTGGACTTAGCAGCCCCAAGCACTCTTAAGAAGAAGAATAGAGAGAAAGGAATAATTAGCACTTGAATACTAGAATGCTTTGATTCAATGCTTGGGTAAATACAAATGAGGGGAGGAGCTCCTATTTATAGCCTCCTCCATGCCTTTGGCCTTTCATCTAGCCAATGTGGGACTATACAATGTCCAAGAGAAGCTTCTAGATTACAATATAATATTCTATCTCTTAGACTATTCTAATGTACATAAATAACTCTAGAACATTCTAGGTTATTCTTAGATCCTCTTTAGAGCTTTTCCTTCTTGCTCTCCCCTGAACGTGGTGGAATCTTCTAGAGCCCCTTTGATGACTCCTCATATTCGGACATTCTTTAGAATCTTCCATCCTCTGTTCGTCTCGATGATTTCTCGAATGTCGCGGAGCGTGACAGTAAGGTGTGTTCAAATTATCCTTTTATTCCTCCTATGCTTGCGAAAATGAAACTTAATTCTTATTATGAATTTAGTGGTGTATGGAAGCCTTCTCTATCTGACTTTTCTGTTAAATGCTTGACATCTAATCATGCATGTCATGTGTATCAATATTACTTAAAAAATGTTGTAATTGTTTCAAAACCTGCACGTCTTAATCTTTTTTCCTTATATATATCCAGGCACCACGTTTATGAGAAACGTGGTGGTCCTAAATCAGTTGAATTGAAGGAAGTTGGCCCTCGCTTTGAGCTTAGGCTTTTTCAGGTCAGCACTGGAAACTTTTTTTGATTTCATCTCAAGGATAGTCCAGCAAGATTCTAATTGCTTCTCATTATTTTAATTTAACAATAGAATTGATTTTCTGCTCAGATCAAACTCAAATCAAATCAAATGAGCCGAGCTAGGAGCTAATTGTTCTTCTTCATTTGATCAACTTGACATATATATATATATATATATATATATATATATA